GGTACGCCCGACGATCGACCAGGTACGCCCGACGATCGACCAGGTACGCCCGACGATCGACCAGGTACGCCCGACGATCGACATACCTGCTGGTTGCCCAGGAGGTCCGGCTCCTCTCCCTCCTGCTGCCAGAAGATTCCGGCCACGTCTCCGGCGGTCAGCGCCACGTCCAGTCTCACACTCTTCCACTGCAGCAGGCTCGAGCCGTTGTAGTGGACCGCGCGGCCATTGCTGCAACACAACCACCGAATAAATAAACCATCTCACACCGCAAGCACCCGCTGCACGGTGGTGCCAACATACTCATGTATCTGCACTGATGTCTGTGCGATTGATCACACCTTGTATATTTGTGTGAGTGTGCTTGCCTGCATGTTTATATATATATATATATATATATATATATTATTATATATAAATATATTATATAAGAATGAACAACAAGAAGAAAAAATAAAAGTAATAATATAAAGAATCTCGGTCACTGATATTACACCATCATCAAGTAGTCAAACTGCTTTTCACACTTTCAATTTCTCCATAATTTAGGCCTACTATCGCTTAAATCAATGCCAGTTATTTTCACTGTCATTGTCATCGTCACCGTCACTGTCACCATCAGCTTCCCAGCTTACTTGTGAAACATCACAGTGCCAACAGGGTTCGTCCACGAGCCATCCTTCCGTTCTGCGGGCGGAGCGAAACCGAACGATATGATTGGTCCGCTGTCATCCTGAAGCTCGCCGAATGAGCAGATTTCGATCTCAAAGTAGAAAGACGTCGCCTGCGACGAAGTGAATACGATAGTTGATGAGAGTTTAGATTTACTTTTGTAATAATTAATTCAGTATTATTACAATTTACTAGCACAATTATTTATTTACAAGTATTATGGTGATTTATATTAATTGTAATGATTATGCTGAAGATTCTGACTCTAAAACACACGTATGTACATACACACACGCACACACGCACGCACGCACGCACGCACGCACGCACTCACGCACGCACGCACGTGAGCGTGCACACACACATGATAATAATATGGTCGCAGATACACCACAGGAAATTATAAAGCTGTACAAATATAATAATATAAATATGTATCCAAATTATAAAATCGAATCAGTCAGCGTTTTGTGTTCTGACATGATGATCGTGCGTGACGCGGCGCGCTCGTGTACCTGGGGGGGAATCGGCTGGTTGGCGTAGACCAAGGTGCCCCGCGGCAGGCCACTCGCTGTCCCCGGCTCCCCGAGAAACGTCACTCCCGTGAGGCTGTGCGAGAAGAGGCAGGCGCGCACGGGTGGGAAGATGCGCGCCGTGTCCCACGTAAAGGGCTTCACCTGTGCGAGTTGACGAGAAATATCCATCATGTATGTGTCAGCAGAGCAAGAGAGAGAGAGATAGGGGGGAGAGAGAGAGGGGGAGAGAGAGAGAGAGAGAGAGAGAGAGAGAGAGAGAGAGAGGAGGAGAGAGAGAGAGAGAGAGAGAGAGAGAGACACA